TAGTATTGCAGGGTATGGCTGCAGTGAGGTCAAAGAAACCACGAGCTCCAAGATCTGTGGGAATCAAGTCCTAAGCAGAGTATGAAGGAATGGAACAACCGAGGGCCAGAAGGTAGCCTTACCAATCTTGTTTAGGGTTAGGAAGCAGAGAACATTTTTGGGATGTGTGCCTGCACTTCTGGCCACTGACTGCTTTTCTCAAATAACTTCTTGCATCAAGATCTGCTTTCTTTAGTTCATCTTTAATTCAACCATTAAAATTTCCTGGTTCTTTCACTGAATCTCCCCTTCTTTTCCCTTGGACCTCTCAGGGAATTTCCATGCCCTACACTTCTGAATGAGGAGGATTACTGCTGCATAGAAATCTCTTTCCACTAGCAGGTCACTTTGGACTATGTCCCTTGAGTTCTTTTGTTTTCTGTTTGTGGTACTGGGGATTTAACCTAGCTCTACATCTAAGCTACACCTCTAGCCCCACCCAGTCTTTAGTACCAGATTGAACCCAGGCACTTAACCACTGAGCTACATCTTCAACCCTTTTTATTTTTTATTTTGAGACAGGGTCTCAGTAAGTTGCTGAGGCTGGCTTTGAACTTAGTGATCCTCCTGCTTCAGGGGCTCCCCCCCATCCCCCAGCTGCTGGGATTAGAGGTGTATACTATCATGCCCAGCTTCCTATTTTATTTTTGAGACAGGGTCTTGCTAAATTGCTGAGGCTGGACTTGAACTCGTGGTCCTCTTGTTTTAACCTCCAGAATTGCTGGGATTACAGGTGTGTGCCATTCCACCTGACTGTCCCTTGAATTTATTTCAAAGTCCTCAACTTGCATACTCTTCTCTCCTGGCTTTCAGCTCATTAAACTGTCCACCCTGCCAGGCACATCATTGTCTGAAATGACAAGTCCTCTAAAAGCTCTCTTAACTAAATGAAGAAATGATGCAAATTCTCTTTGGCCTTTCCCCATTACGCTGAAAGCGTACTGAATCATGTATAGATCATGGTTGTTAATTCATACAATTATGCATTTGTTTTCTTGTGTTTAAATACATTTCCTTAATGAGGGATCTAAGAGTGACAAAGCAGGACAAAGATCTAACAAAATCTTTGCTAAATCTGGCAGTACCAACCATAAAGGCATTAAACAGTCTTTAACAAGTTAACTGTTAAGAACTTTCAGGGGAGGAGGGAACACCAGGAAGGCTATGCCATAGAGTACCAAGGTAATGTTACTGATGGAGAGAGAAGACTATTGGCTCAACTTCCACCTCTCCCACTTATAGCTCATGTTGGGCAAGCTACTGAACTCCTTAGGACCAGATTTCCTCAGCTGTTAAAATAAGGACAGTTAATAGCCACCTTTAAGAACCGTTAAAAAGAATGAATAAACATATGTGGAAAATCAGGCACAGTATGGTGCAGCAAGAACTTAGTAAATCATAATTTCTATTTTTGTCCCTTTTCAGTCTTGCTCCTTCAATAATAATTATTGAATCAATCTCTCTCTGTTGGTTTTATATGTCCCTCTTGCCAGACTTTAGATCAGATTTTCTCAGAAACAGCAGGATTGGCATTTTAGGCCAGATGGTTCTTTGTTATAGGGAGCTGACATGTGCACTGTAGGATGTTTAGTAGCATCCCTGGCCTATACCCCATGCTTTACAAATAGCAGATAGAGCCATTTCCAGAAAACAAAAACTTGAAAGGTTCTGGACACAGATGATTACCAAGAATATAGAATATGATAGTGCCTTCATGTAAGATCACATCAATTCAATCTAATACTTAGATTTAGGTTTACCAATGATTAACACAGACAGAACAGCTACTAATCCAAGTATTTATGGAGAAGACTTTAGAGAGCCATTTGAATATACAGTCCATCATTTCCCAAACCCTCCAACTAAAATAATTTCCTAAGCCTAACCTAAAACATTCCTATCTTTAAAAATCCAACAAAGAAGACCTGGTGCAGTGGAGCATACCTTTAATCCTAGGAACCTGGAAGGCAGGAGGGTCCCAAGTTCAAGGCTATCCTGGGCAACTTAGCAAGGCCCTGTCTCAAAATAAAAGGGCTGGAGATGTAGCTCAGTGGTAAAAGTGCCCCTGCATCCCCCATACTGTAAAACGAAGCAAAACCAAACAAATAGCAACAAACAAAAACCCAATAAGCAAAATAAAAAACTATCCCTCTTTCAACTTTTTTTTTCTGAAAAAAAGGCAAAGAACTGTTTCAACTTTGAATTTCATAAAGGATATGCAATTTGCAGCAATTAGAGTTTGACACTTGGTAGACAACCTAATAAATGTATGAGTATAGGCTTAATTATGCAGCATGGAAACAGATGAAACTCCTTATCCAAGTTCTTTCTGTCATCAGCATGATCTCTTTGGTGTCTTTCTTTAAATTATTCTTGCATTAAGCAGGAAGTATCTGGACTTTTTTCCCTCCTAGTAATTGTTCCATCTTCCCATCATAGTTGAATTCTTCAAGCATACCTGCTATTACCATTTCTTATTGAATATCTTTTTGATTTCCTCAAACTTGCTGGCCACTCTACTGAAACTTGTTTGAAATCTAAAGAGAGAACTCTTCCAAGACAAATCCAAAGATTCCTTTGTTAAACTCTTCTTTTTCTCCCTCTGACAACAATGATCATTCTTTTCACTGGATACTTCTCAGCTTTTAATGATATACTGGTTGGCCAATACTATGACAGAATCCTAAACAAAACAAAACTATATCACTTATTTTTCACATCACTCATTCTTTCCTGCTTCCAACAGTATACAAAGGAAGGCCACGTCCTGAAAGACCTTTTCACTCTTTGCCAGATTCCATCCTTTTATAAGCCTGTTCAAGAAACATTCCCCTTCTGAAAATTTCTAACCGGGTTTGCTGTTTCCGGTAACTGAATCTCCCAGTACTTTTTGTCATGTAAATGGCTAACTTGAATTTACTGAAGTGCACACATATCATCTCATTAGAACCTAAGCTTCTCAGGAAAAGAGCTGTGTTTTCTTTCTTCAGAATCCCTTCACAGCTTGAAGCACAGCACTTGTCCTTCAGTAACCTCTCAGTTGACATTAGGCTCCTTTCCCAGACAATATTAACGAAAAACGGAACCACCCTGCGGCATTTGCCTGTCTCAGCTGTTCAATGGCCTTTCCACCTCGGCCTGCACCTCTCGGGGAGACTACCGGCACGGGGGTGAGGGGAAGCCACCTTCAGATCACAGCATTTTCTCGAGAGAAATTGATGTTCCTTCTTCATGGTTCAGGGACGTTTTAATGAAGGAGATGGCGATGCAATCTCTTCCTGAAAACTTTTCTGAACCCCGCGACAGGTTTCTATTTCTGCTAAGTAACTAGGTCTTTCTCTCTGCCCTCCTCCGTTTTCTGAGAACACTTACAAGACACACAAATTCAAACACCATCACCAAGGTCGGAAAAAGGTTTTAAGCACCCTGTGAGGTCAGCACCTCCGCCGATGTTTCAGAGTCTCGTGAAGGAAGGGAGGGGCGCACCACGGCGGGCGGAAGTACTTTCTGTAGCTTTTCTCAATCTCAGACGCTCATGGACTTAGGACTCACCTTCCCTGAATCCTCGAGCTGGAACCCGAGGGCAACTGGTCGTGACTGGGACCCCCAGGAGCCCTCGGAGCAGCCGCCCACAGCCGGATACCAGCGCCATGAAGGACGCCATCTTGAAAACCAAGCGTGACCTCTGTGCACTTCCGCTTCCGGAATGGCGCGTGCGCAGCCGGTAGTTCGGCAGGACCTCTGGCGCCGGACTTTTCGCTCTTTTACTCCTGTTATTATTTTATGTATTTGCTTATTTTAGTACCATGGGCGCTTAACCCCCAGGGGCGCTTAACCACTGAGACTCATACCCAGCTCTTTATTTTTTTTAAGATACAGTCTCACTAGCTTGCTTAGGGCTTTGCTAAGTTGTTGAGGCTGGCTTTGAACTTGAGATCCTCCGGCCTTAACCTCCCCCTCCGCTGGGATTCCACCAGTGTGCCACCGCTCCTGGCTTTTACTCCTGTTATTGCCAGGTCTCTTACCCCGTGGGCATTTGAGTTAAGGAGAGAAGCCATTATGTCAAATCGTTATTTCATTTCGAGGGAGATCTTCTAGGTCCTTTGTTCCACTCCCTAGTCTTTAAAGTTGCTTTCGTTCCCTGGAGCGCTCGCCTGACATGTGTGAGACCCTGGGTTCGATCCTCAGCACCATATATAAATAAATAAAACAAAAAGATCCATTGACAACTGAAAAAAAAACTACCCCTAACATATTAGCTGTGGGGTTTTCAGTATCTGTGACTGGGGCTCGATCTGTAAAGGAGAGGTTAAATGGTCAGGGCTTCTGGCTTTGGAGTATCAGGTATTAGATCTGGGATAGAATTAACACTTCCTTCTTCCCGACACCGCCTCTCCCCAACACACACTTAGAATTCTTGCTCACTTAGACTTCTCTCCAGCCTCAAGGCCTTTGAACAAGTTATCCCCTCTGCCTGCTCTTTAACAAAGTGGCAAACTCCTACTTATTCCTTAGAGCCCACCTCAAATTCCTTTCTACAGTGAAGCCTTCCTTCACCATCCTGACTCTGGTTCTCGGCACCAGATAAAGGTTCCATCTTAGTACTTGACACAGTTGCGGTTTTACATTTGTTCGTATAACATATGTCTCCCCACCAGACTGTAAACTCCATTAAGGCAAGAATAATGTTTTTTGTTGACTTTCATATCTCCAGCATTTAGTTCAGTTCCTGACGTATAATAAGAGTGTAATATATACTTGTTGAAAGAACAAGTAAAATCAATATTGTAGGGTTGCTGTGAACATTAAATGAGATAAAACAAATGTTCAATAAGCATAAGTTAATAGGGCAATTAATTGAGGTAACTCTTTTCCTGTTTTACCGACTTGCTTTATAAGGAAGCTTATGGTACCCAGAAAGAAAGTCCAACTGACTAATTTCCTCTCTTTTACATTTGCAGGATATGTGGGATGTTCCCCTGGAGCTATATAAGAAAGGGAAGATCATTTGCCACTCAATTATTCCACTTGGTGGTAAGGACCCCACCCCCTTCCAGAATAAACCTAAACGGGGAATTTCTAGTTATCTTATTCTGATTCAAGGATGAGAAAAACCAAGCTTATTAAGTGGCACAGCATGTTCCTTGATGAGGGACAGAGAAGGGAGCCCACTGTCTAGTTGGGACTGCCACTTCAGTGGGATTGAGGATGCAGAACAATTGTTGCATGGGGAACTTGAGTAGTATCATCAAAGACAGGGAGAACAGGAGAATGTGGCATTGTATACCAACAAAACAGTTAGGGGAATCAGGGGAAACTTGAAATAAATGTCAATCAAAGTGGGAGAAACTGACATCTGGGTTAGGAATGGAACAGAAGGTCTTGGTGGGATGTAGGTCTAGGTTTCCCTGCCAAGATAGGAAAGCTTTGACTCTCCCTATAGCTTACACTTTTCTTTTATAAAGATGACCTTTAATCACACCCACTGTTAGTACCACATTCCCTGTTTCTTTAAGCATCCTCAACTACTTCTGGGGACCCAGCAGAGGCTTTGGCAGTAACAAAGCCCCACCCAGCACTTGCTTTGGACATAATGAGCTAAGGCATTCAAGTACCCACCTTTGCTCATTAATTTATCATCATCAAATTTTATTTTGAAAAACCACTATTTTCTACAGTGAGGTAATGTGATCATTGTAGGAAAAAGAAGAAATGGATGAAATAAAAAGTAAATAAATGCCATCCGTAATCCAGAGAGAAGTGTTAAATATTTAGCAAAATAAAATAATACTGTGCATATTCTTTGTTTTGTAATATCTTGTTTTTTAAATACATTTTTTATTAGTCTCTACATGAAAAACCAATTCTGTGAGGGACCAGATTTAACTCAAGAGATTACCCTTACACACACACACACACACACACACACACGCAGAGAGAGAGAGAGAGACCTTTTAATGAAAGTATTAATTATATGGAAAGTACACAAATCAGCAGTATACAGCTTGAGGAGTTTTCACAAACAGAACACACTATCTATGCCAACAAGTGAACATAACCAGCACTTTATAACACTGACTTGTGTCCCCTTCCAGACACTACTACTTCCAAGGATGATGATTATCTCAACTTTTAGCACCAGAAATATTCTGCTGTGAATATACCACATTAAAAAAAAACAAAAACCCTGTCTTCTGTTGATCCTTTCCATTTGAGACTATTGAAAATAGTGTTGGGAAAAAACCTGACTTTTGGAAAAAAATAAGCCTTTTTCAGGGATGTATCTAGCCGCGGAGTTGTTAGGCTATCAGGTATGTATATGCTTAGCCTTAGTAGATCCTGACAGTTTCCCATTGTGATTGTACCAGTTTACTCTTTCACCAGTTATGTATAAGAGTTACAGGTGATCCACAGCCCTATTCGTATTTGGTATTTTTCTACTTTTTCTTTTGTCGTTCTGGTTGATGTGTAGTAGTGTCTCATTGTGTATTTATTTTACGTTTCTCTGATACCTAATGAAGATAACTTTTCATATGTTTATAGGCCATTTAGATATCTTCTTTTGTAAAATATATGTTCAAGACTTTGTTCTATTTTATTTGGGGTTGCTTATTTCTTTCTTTTTGATTTGTAGTTCTTTATATATTCTGGATACCTAGATGTATTTATATAGTAAATGTCATATAACTCTTTGTGGGTTGCTTTTTGTTTCCATTTAGTTTGTGGTTTTGGTGAGTAGTAATCTTTCATTTTTAACATAGTGTAGCTCATTGGAGTTTTTCTTTATTGTTTGTCCTTTTCATTTATTATTAATTGTTTTTCTCTTTGAAGTCACAAGGATGTTCTAGTATGTTTTCTCTCCAAAATTTTATTTTTTACCTTTCACATTTAGAATTTAAATTCATCTGGGATTGTTTTGTTACAAGACCTGAGATTGCAATTAAGATTAATTTTTCCCATAGCAATATCCAACTGACCCAGCACCATTAAAAAAAAAAATCACACTTTTGGGGCTGGGGTTGTGGCTCCGTGGTAGAGTGCTTGCCTGGCATATGTGAGGCACTGGGTTCAATTCTCAGCATCACATACCTCAGTTGGGTATGCTATGGGCTTTTTTTTTTGTACTATTATGCTGTGAAATAAAAGGGGGTGAGGGCTCTTGTCTGGGGCTGCAAAATGGTAGCTGCCACCCAAAGGAGAGGTCTTTTCATGATCCGGGGTTTCTGGGGCTGCTGGCAGAGCTACTGTAACACATGGAGAACTGTTTCTAGCTGCAGTGGCAATCCTGGAACTCACAGAGCGGCAAGGACACTGTATGCTGGACCTTACCCCATTCCCTCTTCCAAGGAGCCCAGTCCCTAGCTTCTGCCCTGCTTTGTTCCTCACGCCTTGTTCTGGAGTCTTGTCTCCTATTTCTGGAGATAATGTAATCGGAACTAAATCTTCCCAAGGAAGATGTTCAGGGAACGCCCCTAGGAGATGAACCCAGATAGATTCATGCCAATAAAAATTTCAACGTGCAGCAGAAATGATCTGGTCTGGTGCCTTGCTGCCCACCAACAGGACAGCAGGCTCAGGCCAGAGCAAAGGCAAGAGTCAGGACACCATGGGTGGGTCAGCCAGTCTGACTTCAGGGAAGTTCTGAGCCCAGCTGCGGATGGATGTGCTCTTCCAGCCTCCTTCCCACCTCGCCCAGGAAGAGAGATCTGAGCCAAGAGCCACATGGTTGTGACCTGTGAAAGAGTAGAGGCAATGAAAAGTGTGGGAAGGTGGAGAGCAGAGGCAATGAAAAGTGTGGGAAGGTGGAGAGCACTGATCTGGTAGAGAGCTTGGTGGAAGGGACAAGGAAAACCAGAGGAAGGGACTGGCAGACCGGAGTGACAGTCATGTTTGCTTTCTCTTAATTAATGTGGTTTCCTTACAAACCCCCTGCTGATTCCCAGCTGGTTCACTCAACCATAACAACACGTGGCCTGCCCTGCCTAGGCCAGGAACTGAGGCTGGACGCCTCCCAAGAAGGGTCTGGTTTCATCTGCAGCGGCTAGCCCTGCTCCCCCTTACTGGCTTTATGCAGATGAGGGAAGGGACAGCACCTCAAGCTGTGGAGACAGCTGGGCTGGAGAAAAGGCCAGGGCCTGGCTGCTGTGGGTTCGCCTGGTTGCACACTTTGGTTTCCCACGACCTTTCATAAGGGGCAGTACCCTCCTATTTGGGCTGTGGCCTGCCAAAAAGCTGAGTGGAGGGTGGGAGGAAACCTTGGACAAAAAGCCCTTGTTTGGTGGTGGCCTTCCTACAGGTGTGTCCTGCTGATGCCATGTGCCTGGAAACAGTTGCGGCGAGGGTCTAGAGTTTTTGCTAATTCAACATTTTCCATCCAGTTTTCAGTGTCGTTTCTCTTCTTTGCCAGGATTCTTACTCTGTCCAAATTTCGTCATTCATTTGTTCACTGGTTCATTTCACCAATAGGTTATCAATTGAGCAGGTACTGCATGCCTTTTATGAACAAATGATTATATGCACCTAGGGAATATGCTCTGGGGGTGAATCCTCTTGTTTCACAAAAGAAACACTTTATAAATTTGATGATTGCCCTGAAGTTCACTTGCTCTTTCCTTTTTATTTAATTTTTTTTTACACATTTTAAATCATGAAATAGGACACACATTTCAGAAAAAGTATGTAAAAACTTAAATGTTCCATATAATAGATTCATTATAAAGCAAAACGGATTCATTTCTATGCTGGAGGACCAGGACACAGGACTGCCTTGATAAGGAGAAAGAAGGAAAACAAAGAAGTAGAATCAGTAAGAGGCAGTGTTAGCGGCCTTCAGAATCCCAAAGGCTTCTGGGAAAGTGAGGCTGGAGGAAGGCCCCAAACAAAACTGCCTGTGGAAGGGGAAGAGACCTGCTGTAGCGTTTGGGTGCCCTCCTAGGCACAGACTAGAATCCCAGCCAAATGAGCAGTCCAGCCTGTGGCTGTGTCCAGTGAGGCCAGCTCAGCTCAGTGCCCTTAGCAAGCCCAGCTCTGGCTATGTATTTCTGCAGAGGGCAGGATACCCTTACTGAGAGGGCCTTTGTGTCTCTGTCAATCTAAGTGACACATTTGAGTCCTTTCTCCTGGTGCCCAAGTGCATTTTTGTTTATTTTTTTGATACTGGGGAATGAACACAGGGGCACTTAACCACTGAGCCACATCCCCAGACCTTTTCTTAAAATATTTTATTTAGAGACAGGGTCTCTCTGAGTTGCTTAGGGCCTTGCTAAGTGGCTGAGGCTGGCTTTGAACTCATGATCCTCCTGCCTCAGGCTCTAATGCCACTGGGATTACATGCACCATGGTCCCTGGCCCCCAAATGCATTTCTTTTTCTTTCTTTCTTTCTGTTTTTGGTGGTACTGGGGGATTAAACCCAGGGCCTTAACACACTACACAAGTAGTCTACCAACTGAGCTATATCCCCAGCCCTGCTTAACCCCCAAATGCATTTCATTCCTAAGGAAATGTTTTTAACCTTTTAAGACACTTCAAAACTGATGGTACATTTTGCTGAATGTGTAAAAAATGGTGCCTTAGGCCAGGCTGTCCTCAGTATGCAAAGAAGAAATATACAAAAACAGCTGGGTGCAGTGGCTCATGCCTGTAATCCTGGTGACTCTTGAGGCTGAGGCAGGAGGATTGCAAGTTCAAGGACAATCTGGGCCACTTAGTGAGACTTTGTCTCAAAATAAATTACAAAAAAGGGTGCAGGAGGCTGGAAAGGTAGCTCAGTGCTAGAGAACCTGTGGATTCAATCCCCAAAGCAAAAGGACAGAGCTGTAGACTGAAAATCAGCCTCTTCCCTAACCAGCCGGCAACATAAAGCCAGGTGCACATGCTGTCTGGGCCTGTTTCTCCATCCGTAAAGAGCGTCATCAGGTTCTAGATTCTGATTCTGCAAACAGTCCTGTTCTTATAACCCAGAGTGGTAGGGCAGCTGTATCACATTTGCCAGAACTTAGCTTGATAGCTATACCTAGCCACCACGGCTACTGAG